AAGTTACTGTACTACAATTTGTTTGTCAACCAGGATGATTCTGCCGCCTTTACTGCTCAAACGAACGACTAATTCACCGAGCAATACCGCAAGGCAAACAAATAACGCACTCTATGCAAAAGTTCGTGGAAAGGCAGAATAACAACATGAACAGCCTTGACGAACAGCGCTTGTCAGAGGGTGCCTGACAAATTGTCGCAAACTATTGGGCCACCTGTGTTAGATCACAGAGCTTCTGAAGTTTCCGCGCACATCAATAGAACGGCACTCCGGTCGAGTCAGAGGCGCTCTCGAAACCAACGATCACTGATTTAGTCAGCTTGCGGTACGTATGACGTCGCAATAACTCCTGCCGCGAAGTCCAAATGCTATCTAGGCATCTGTATCGCAATCAGTGGCCTTTCTGTTTGCCTCGCACCCAGTTGTTCCGTTCCGTTAAAAAGCAGGTGACAACAGCTTTATCACTACCGAGATGAAGTTCGTAGTTTTCATACTAGCCTGCTTGTCACCACCATCCTCGTAACAATTTGCTACCATAACCGGTTTGTGCCAATTGGCCGGCGCAAGCATTATTATCCTCCCCCCCTCAGAACAAATAAGACAATTTGCTGTACAATACCCCGCCACCATTCTTAAACAAAGTGAGCATGAGTGAACCTGCGCCGTCATTGTGGAGTGTTGGGAAATTTGATCATGTTCGTAGCCTCAGCTTCAGACTGCACCCCCAATTTTCTGGCCTCATGTGATGTTGCTCTTTCTCAGGGTCATACAACAAACAGGCTTTTTCTAAAACCGACAAGCCAAATTTTTTCCCTTATTACGAACGAAATCATAGACGTAGAAAGTAGAAGCCACGATTAAACTTTGCACAATAATTGTGTACTCACAACAACCACCAAAAATCATAGACATTGTCCCTGATTTTCTCAGCGCCTGATAGCTTCCTGCAACTTTTGGCAAGGATTGTTTGGGCGCTCTGCTGCAGTTTCCCTCTGTTCCTATGATGCGCGACGATTAGTTCACTATGCACACTGCTCTAAACTCAAACCACTTGGCGCATAAAATTCATTGAAACAAAGTGGTATGTATTCTGATCGCCTAGTGCCTTTAATCAACCCACATGAGCCATGCTTTTCCGTACCGGTCGATTACCATCTACCCAGTCACCAGCCTATTTCGGTTGGGCGATAGTCTCCACTTCACTCTAATCCCCGTTGCTCTAGAGGACACTTGCGTGTCGTATGGACAAAGCATAGCGTCTCATAACGGATCTGTACACCTACTTTGGAGCGCTCAAGATAAGACTTTGTAAATAAAACACAACAGACCAATGAGGATAACATGAATGAGGCTGCATACATGCGAAACGAAAATATGACTAAAGGCTGCATGAATAATCTCGATAGAGTCCGAAAGTAGGGTCTTTCCACAGAAGCAGACTTTCCTGACACAAACTGGCCGCCTTCATTGGACCATTTACATGAACCGTCTGTGACATTGATAACATTGTTAGGATCAAGCGATCATGTAACCATACCTCACATTATTGTGTTTTGTAGGATAACCAAAATAATCCATAGTTATGACACACACTTTCACTCAGTAATGTATAACAATCATATAACAGAAAAAAATAAAATTTGGGACACCATATATCTTTGCGGATGATATAAAAATATTATAAACCTTCGACGCCCGGTGTATGAGCGACACGCTAGAAAAGGTTCTTATAGACCTACTGGCTTTGGAATCGTGGTGCACTGATTGGCAAATGTCCTTCTCAGAGGACAAGTGCAGTGTGTTAACATGCAAATGTGAACTTTCGCCTAATGCACTTCACCTTGGTGGTAAGCCCATCCCCTGTAATAGGACTATACGAGATATAGGCATGCAGTACTCAGACACACTGAATTTCGCTGAAAAGTTGAATTCATAACGGCCAGATCACGAAGAAGCGCAAAACCCATCTTAAAATTGCTCGATGCGTGAACCAGTACTGTATTTGTTTAGGGCCTGCGTTCACCCAGTGCTAGAGTACTGTTCCATAATTTATTATATGCAGCAAGACAAGCGAACGTGTGTGCTTAGAAAACCTGGAGAGGTCATTCGCAAAGGCTCGCTTTAAATCAGCGGCCAAACTTAACTAAGCTGAGCCTTGTAAGCTGCTGCAACTGGAGCCACCGTGGCTAAGACGCATGAGCCTAGGATTAAAATTCCTATTTGATTTGATACATAAGCGTGTATTCGCGCCAAATATCAATACCCACTTCAAAAATGTAGGTACTTACGCAATTAGGAATACAAATAACAAATTCACAATGTTCGAAACGAAACTAATACTCGAATAAAATTCCATCTACCACGTAAGCTGAGATCTTAAACAGACTCATCATTGAAGTAAGACCATACGACTCGCAACCACTGTTTAAAAGGGCAGTTTCAAAGTGCCTGACGGTACGATATGCAAAAGCAATGTTGCGACTAAATTGTAACGCAAAAATGCTATTTGAGGAGGGGGCCGATGCGTAAGTGTGTTAATAACTGATACGCATGAAATATGTGACATACAGTGATTCACTTGTCCAACCCTAAGTGTAGATTGCAAATGAATTGAAAACTGAGATTGAGATAACCATTGTTGTCCCAACTCTTCCACGTTGTGCTTATTCAGCCACGCCTACCTTGCAGCTATACCAAAAATTGTGAGCTGAGAAGGGAACGCTGACTGAATCTGTCCATCTTCATTCACTTTTACCATTCGCTTTTCTCTTACTCGTCTATGCTTCCCATTTTGCGCCCAGGTAAACATATCAGATAGTATGGTGAAGCTAAACGATTCTGCTTCCAACATCTTCATCCCTGTTTCAAAAAATTCGCTCTCATTTTTCCCCGTACTCGCTCGCGCCCAGCGTACAATTATACCGAAATACCTGCACCAGTTGACAAGTCCCAATCATGTTCATCTCACACACAACAGATACATCTCCCATTCTATCTGTCTCTGCCCATATGTACAGCTG